AATGTACAAAGCAATGTTGGATAATTTTGGCATTGCATATTATTTTTATATGGATGAGAATGTGAGTAAAATGAAATAGACAGAAAGAAAAAAAATATAAACATGAAGAATTAACTCATTAAGAACTAACATTGCGTTAATGCAACATTTACAGTTTTTTTTTTTTTAGTTAATATTACATACATAATTAAATTTTGTTTTTTAATGTTATAGTTATAAAAGAAAATTTTAAGAATTTGCTTTATAATATTAATAATTTTTTTCAATATTTTTGCTTTCTTAAAAATTCTAAAATTTTATAAGTTTGGATAAATGTAATATTTATAAGTATTATGATGATATATATTCTTTTTTAAATCATGAAAATTTCATTTGTATTTTTATTTTTTGTAATAATTTTCTATAAATTATCTGTTTTAATATATATTTTGTACTTTGACAAAATATATTATATTTTATATATAAAAATATATTTTATTTTCTTTTTTTATTAATGTTGTATTTGTGCAACTTTTATGTAATATTTCACTGCATAGTCCTTAATAAGTTAAACAAAAAAAAAAAAAAAAAAAAATAAGAAAGAATAACGTATAATCTTCGAGAAATTGTACGTAATGAATTTAAATCAAATGTGTGTATGCATCACGTGAATATGTGTATAAGCATGCGTATATGTGTATATAGGATCGATGTCCTTTTGAAATGTATTGTCACCATTTTCACTAGGAAGAAATAAGTGAAATTTATTATTATTACTCTAGAACAAAATATTTCCAAAAGTCGTTATGCCTAAAATCTAAAATGAGTATCCATATATGTATATTGATTATAGATAGTAAACAAATGAGATTAGTAGATTATCAAAAATAACTCAAGATTTATTAAATACGTTTTCAACGCGTGACGTAAAGTTTTATTTTTTATTAGCAAAACATATAAAAATATAATAAGAAAACTATGAACATTGAAAATTTTTAGAATGATTGAAATAAAACAATGAAAGAAGGGGAGAGGGAGCGAGCGAGCGAGCGAGCGAGCGAGCAAGAGAGAGAGAGAGAGAGAGAGAGAGAGAGAGAGAGAGAGAG